GTTCTAATGTATGATTTCAATTTCTCATTCCTTTTCAGCGGTTAATCGACACATACTACGTCATAATACAAGAAACTGCACGATTGTGACGTCACGATCACTGCTGCACTTTACTCTCATCGGATAGATGCTATCTTTACCGTAAAAAAGCAGAAAGAAATGAAAAGAGATAAAAGAGAGTCATGGAAAATCACAAATTGTACGAGGATTTCACACCCAGGATATTAGATCGGTCACGAAATTTTTCAAGAAGACAAAATTAAAGAGAGAGTTAAAACTAGAAGTTCGCCAAGCTTGAAATAAAAGTTACTTGCCGATATCAAGGATTTAATTATTCATCATTCGACACGTCTTCTCTTGATCATGTATGAAGCAGATATTAAAATATTAACACTTTGATTGTTGAACTATAGTATAGTATTAATGACTGCTTTGAGAGAAATAGTTGTTTTTATACGCTCAAGGGAAGGTTAGAATTGTGCTATTGCCCGAGGCGTGCCGAGGGCAATAGCCCAATTGTAACCTTCCCGAGAGCGTATAAAAACAACTATTTCTCGATGATTAAGAGGCACGTATATCATTTGGATTTGTATGCTAAAAACTAATAAATTAGACATATCTATTTAAAAACGTGTCACATAAACAATAATTGTCGTTAAAATAAAGGAGTGTTTTACCATGGACCTCATACGTGGTTTTACTAACCTAATATGTATTTCCCTGTTATATTGTTTGTTTTCAACGCTTCACTAGGCTATACTTTTTAGCCAGAATACTAAATCAATTTCATTATGACTAAATTCCATTTGAATCACAATAACGAGTTGCCCAGTGTTAAGTTGTTGGTGGAGTGTGTGTTGGGACAGGGGGAGGGGGAGGGGGTGGGTGAGGGTGGTGTGGTCAGGTTCTCCCAATCGGAGAAAGCTCAAAATAACCCCATACATGTAACTAGTGCAAGCTCTTAACAAAAGACTATATTTTCCTACGATAAGAGATATATATTGATTACCTTGCCAATGACAGCTTGGACTGAAAATAAACACATTTATGAAAGACAAGTTGCAAATTGAATGATAAATATTATTATTATAAATGGAAAGATCTAATGCTGTAAAACCCGAACCTTCACAGATTACCAATGACAGCCATTTTCATGGCAAAAAATCTTCATTCATTTTCAAATTTTATGTTGTGATTAAATATGTTTTAAACATTCAGCTACATGATACTTTTGCAAAGCTCAACCACTCGCGAAATTTAAAGAAGTTTCAGGTTTGACAGAAAAGCATCAATAAGTACTTTGATATGTGTCTTCTTCATTGAAGCATTATCATAAAATATAAAGAATTAAACTGCTTCACAAAGCATTTATTAAAAAAGTAATATTACATGATTTCACATTTTATCACAGAAGTTAGAACTCTTACAAAATTTGTGATATAACGATGTAATAATATTTTATTCTGGTTTTACCGAAAAGCATCAATAAGAACTTTGTTATGTGTCTTCTTCACAAAGTATTTATAAAAAACACGTTACATAATTTCATTTTTTATCACATAAGTTAGAAATCTTACCAAATTTGTGACATAACAATGCAATAATATTTTATTCTGGTTTTACAGAAAAGCATCAAATAGTACTTTGATATGTGTCTTCTTTATTGCAGCATTATCATACAATATAAAGAATTAGACTGCTTCACAAAGCATTTACAAAAATGTAATTTCACATGAATTCAGTTCTTACACAATTTGTGAAATAAGAATGCAATAACATTTTGTGATCACAACTTATTTGAACATGCACCAGACACAATACCACGAAATAGATACAATCGAAGTATAAAAAAAAAAAAAACGAATTTATCCATCCTGCAAGTTTATCTTGGATTTTGCAGCTGATAATTGACAAAGATTTGTGTAAAAATAGTTATACATTAAAAAAGAATCATACCATCAGGAGAAAAAATAGATTACAAATTATACATGCACAAATAAAAACATGAACATGATGCTAAGCATAATCAGTCATGACGATATTTCATTTCAGATATCGTGTTAAGATAATACAGATACAGTATGAACATTGATAAATTTCACATCAAATCTTTTTGTGTTTTTCTAAAACTTTACATAGAAATACAACAGATATTTTAGCCGATGAGTAACCATAGGAAAAGAAATAGAGTTCTTAAGCCATGATAAAAATGTTAACATTAGACTTGTAGCACTCAATTAGAGTCTGTAACTACTGACAAAGATTTATTCATTGTAATGCTGTACAATAAACACAATTCAAAAATTAAATTAAATTCATCAAGACAGATATACAATGAGAATATTTTTGATCAGGAAAAAACGGACCACTGACAAAAGATTTATTTATTGTAATGCTGTACAATAAACAAAATTGAAAAATAAAATAAAATTCATCAAGACAGATATACAATAAGAAAAATTTTGATCAGGAAACCTCCCAAAATATCTAAAATACAATGATACATATTGAAAGTTATTACTAAATATAAACTCTGTGATATTTTCACTTAAATTAGAAAAAAATATCCTTTCATATATGGTTAACAAAGTATTGTGGATATAAAAAAAGGAACAATAGGTAATCATTACTGCATGAGAAATCTTCAATTTGACAACATGCAGTTGATTGTTGAAGAGGAATGGCATCATTGGCAAGAATAAAAAAAATACAAAACTGAGCAAAGAGAGAAGAAAACAAATTAACATGAAACTAGATGGAACTTTGACTGCGCGCAGTCGAAAATGATGCCTCCGTCATAGAGCAATTTTACAAACCAAAACAGAAGAAATTTTTTTAATTCAAGTTCAATTGTAATCCATTAACAGGTTCTCAGAATATCGTGATTACAAGCACTTTCACATATACATATATGACCCTTTGATCTTTGACCTCATGACCCTAAAATCTACTCAGTTTATTATTGGCTCTGCAAGATGTCCTGAGTTAAATAGTAATCCATCTGTCAGTTCTAATGAGAATACGTTCACAAGCTATTTTTGCATACATAATGGGCCCATGACCTTTAAGTATAAGTATAATAATTTATTGTCCTTTTCAGGAAATTTGTTTTCCACTGGTTACAGAGTATTGCGATACAGATATATAAATGAAATATTACATGACAGTGATAAACATACACATATCAGACCTGCCAACCTCTGGAATTCAAAAACTGTATTCTTTAGTGTCAAAAGTTGTATTTTACTGACAAAAGTTGTATTCTTGAAAAAAAACACGGATTGTTACTCGGATCAATGCCTCTTACAGTTTCTACCTACAGGAAGAATTTTTTTTATTGATCATTGGTTGAATATGCATTATTTCGTCACGACTGGTGTCTTCGATGAACCAATAAACATCCCCAAATTGCTGATGTGAGATGCTTGTAGGATACTTTACAGGACAGAATGGACATTTTACCACTGAAAAACGCACACACAACATATCAATTTAAAAAAAAAAAAAAAAAAAAAAAAAAAAAAAATCGTTTTGTTTTTTGTTTTTGTTTGTTTGTTTTTTGGAAAATCGTATTTTATTAAGGAAAATCGTACTGTCGTATTTGCTTCTAAAAATCGTACTAAATACGACTAAATCGTACTGGTTGGCAGGTCTGACATATGATAAACATACAATAGATGAGGTAATTTATATGTAAGCCACGGTATATATGGCGGTTAAAGAGGTAATATCAGATTCCATTTGACCTTATGAACCATGAATCGACTCAGTTTATCGGTTCTGCACGTACCATACATGACCTAAGTTTGGCAGCAATCCATCAATCAGTTCTTGAGATAACGCGATCACGAGCTGTTTTTTTTTTGCATACATAATGAGCCATGTGACCTTTGACCTTTGACCTCGTGACCCCAAAATCAAATCAGTTCATCGGCTCTGCAAGATACATACATGACCAAAGTTTGGAAGGAATCCATCGATTGGTTCTTCAGATAACGCGATCACGAGAGCGGGACGTACGTACGGACGGACGGACGGACAACCCGAAAACATACTGCCTCCGGCTACTTCGTAACGGAGGCATAAAAATAGCAGTGATCTTAAAGTGCCCGGACAAATCCCTCAGATAGGACTCTAAGTTGTAGATCATTGTGGCTTCTTACCTACAAGTACCTGTCTAGAACTGCATTCTAAGTAATGGGTTTAATAAAATCACCATGATCAAAGAACACCAGTTTCACAAGTATTTTTTTTAATAACAGGCAAGTCATAATAATGAAACAGGATGTATTTGTACACATCTAGTAATATATCCACAGATCCACGCATGACCAGAATTATTGTTATGACACTAGCAACCTTTCATAAAATTAACAATTTAAGCCCTAAATAAAGATATATATATATATATATATATATAAAATATCTTGTTGCTTATGGCTCCACAAAGTTTTTACTGTATGAAAATTAAAATTTCATAAGACTTCTTCAATTATAGTGCCCTCCCCCTTCCCCTCACTGTTTATCTTGGTATAACCAAGTTTCTTCATATCTAACTTCCAAATTCTCGAACGCATTTCAAATTGCAAGATTACAAACAAGCTTCACTTCATAACAAAAATAATAAGCTGGGCAATTAATACCCTAACATGGCAGTGAAAGGATTACAATCAATCAAAAAATTGTCAGGGTAGAGGGTACCATTTGGTCTCAAACTAAAGCGCCATTTCCATGAGATCAAATACACATTTTTCATCCTTAAGCTGCCTAGTTCTTGCCCACTCTTGGATACAGAAATGCCATGTACATGTACCCTGGTCCACTTTAGTACTGCCATAACCTCGTTAGCCGCTCTAGGAATAAAGCTGTGTAGTCACCAACTGACTCATTATAGTGTGCAGAGTACAAGTATGTAGTAGCATGACATATTCTAGGCTATTGTTCTAGTAATTTTGTCAGTTTTTTAATATTTTTTGTAAATTGTTTTAGTGTTTTATTTCTTCATGTAGTTTTCTTTCTAGATAAGTAGACAACCATCTCCCTACCCCACCCCCACCCCTCCCCCCCCCCCAAAAAAAAGTGCAGTGTTTATTAATGGCTTGTTTAGGGTATAACACTGTACTGGCACAAGAAAGGTTAAATTATATGCCACTAAAAGATAATTAAATGATGATTTGTTACTCATACCCGTAATTCACCTGTTAAGGCCAGCACACGTTATTCAATTCAACTGAAATCCGATGTCACAATACATAGCAATTACATTAGATATGAAAATTTGAGGAAACATTAAAGAAAGGTTAAATTCTATGCCTCTAAAAGATAATTAAATGATGATTTGTTACTCATACCCGTAATTCACCTGTTAAGCCCACCACACATTATTCAATTCAACTGAAATCCGATGTAGCAATACATAGCAATTACATTAGATATGAAAATTTAAGGAAACATCCATCTTCATTGAGGTTCTGACTAATGATATGAATAGTAAATATTGAAATTTATGTTTATTGTCAACCTTCAAGGTAAAGTTAAGGCAAAATTGGATGGAAATCGCATACTGTCACACCACTGGTCTGACGTAGCTACAATTCAGAGCCAATTTGGCTTTTCCTCCTACGAGTAGAATTGCAGTATCCTAAAATTCAATTTTATGATTCATATGACAATTCAGAACAAGTCATTCAGACTTTACATATTAAAATATTCATATAAAATGCTATCGCAGATTGTGGGATTATGGGATTATGGGATTATAGTCCGGTTGTAAAAAGGGCAGTGAACTTTGTAAAGTAGCTTAGTAGGGGCAATCAATATCACCCATCTCCACGTACACACTCTTCACCTGGGTGAAATGGTTGATGGTATCCAAGGCATTCTCCCGACCGAAACCAGATTGTTTGTAACCACCGAACGGAAGACCAAAGGGGTTCATGTTGTAGTTGTTAATCCAGCAGAAGCCTGCTTGGAGCTTGGATGCTACACGATGAGCCCGCTTGATGTCACTGAAGAGAAGAACAGAGAGGGGGCCGAAGAAAGAAGGGGAGTGGGGGGAAGGGGACAACAGGTAAGATGGAGGAGGGGAGAGGATGGGAAGGTGAAGGAGGGGGAGGAAATGGAGGAGGGGGAGGATGGAGGGAATGGAGGAGAGGGAGGGGAGGAGGAGGGGGAGGGAACAGGAGGTAGGAGCAGAAGAAGAGGAAAGGAAGAGAGAGAAAGTGTGGTATGGAGGGGAGGGGTGGGTATGAGTTAGAGATGGATATGAGGGGAGGGGATGGGGAGAAAGGGAGGAAGGAGAAGGGGAGCAGGGAGAAGAGGGAGAGAGTAGATAAAGAAGGTAAGACAAAATAGTACATACGACTGCTCATTTGAGACAAAAATATGCTCCTTAAAATAGACTTTCATTGATTTTAAATCTTTATTTAATTTGTATAAGGGAATTGCATAAGGGAAGGTTAAATCGAACAAGGTTATCAAAATTTCCTGTTTGGAAACATTCAAAGTAACGATTATTATCAATTTTAAAACAGTAAAACACAGTCCCACTTTCGCGCTCTAAACATTGCTGGGATTTGTGACGTCACTCAAGTGGACCAAATTAGTATAAGCAGAAGATGTCCAATAACAATGCACACATTTTTAGTACTTGTCTCGTCGTCTCCTCTTCACTTATTTCCCTTACTTCACCAGTGTTATTCTTACTGTTTGATCTGTTGCTTCACTCTATAATTCGGACATGGTTTATTTTGATGAAATGCATGTTTGCATCTACAATACAATGGTGTCTTTGTTACATGCCATAGTGAAGCTACATCTGATTCCTTTATTATTTTTCAAACACTGCATTTTTCATCAAAATAAAAACAAGCCTATGGGAATAAAAGAATCCAGTAGTCAACAGGTAAAAGTGACTCGGTAACATTACCTCAGATTCTGAAACAAATCCAGGATTTAGCTCATGCAGCAATCATAATTATAAAACTTTAGGTCAGTCAGGAATCACATGACTTTTACCAGCCGATCGCCTGTCTGATTATCAAGATATTTATGACTGGAAATCGAAACCAAATTTTTGTTTTTCAAACTTTCCTAACGTTTTTTTATAACACTACAATCTATTGGGAAAATGAGTACCGTATGGTAAAACCGGTCACTCAAAGATTTTTACTTTTTGAGGCACTTCATGATCATTTTGAAGCGCAATCTTTTAAAGGCTTCAATATTACACCATATCACAGACACTGATAACTCCTAGGACCATGCATCTCAGATTTAACATTGCTAAACGATGCCTTTAACTTACCTGGTAAAGACACCACTGGCCAGGCCATAGTCTGTATCGTTTGCACGCTGGATGGCTTCTTCCTCCGTGTCGAAGGGCATGACACAGACGACCGGGCCAAAGACCTCCTCTCTAGCGATGGTCATCTTATCATTCACGCTGAGGACAGTCGGACTGACGTAGAAACCCTCCTGGCAGTTAGGGTCAGATGTGCTGTGCTTACCACCACCGCAATGGACAGTAGCACCCTGTATTAAAAGACAGTGGCAATAGTCAGAAATGTCATGTAATAATAATAATAATATTCAGCTTTTATATAGCGCTTAATACATCTCAGACGTCTCTAAGCGCTTTACAGATATACTATTACCCTGGTCATTGGATTCATTGCTTGCCTGCACACACTGTGTGCACAATCTCCACTCCCTGGGGATGTGCTGTGCTTACCACCACCGCAATGGACAGTAGCACCCTGTATTAAAAGACAGTGGCAATAGTCAGAAATGTCATGTAATAATAATAATATTATTCAGCTTTTATATAGCGCTTAATACATCTCAGACGTCTCTAAGCGCTTTACAGATATACTATTACCCTGGTCATTGGATTCATTGCTTGCCTGCACACACTGTGTGCACAATCTCCACTCCCTGGGGAGCATTCCAGCCAGACGTTACATCTTTAAAATAACAAATAGACTAATAATCTACAATAAGAGATACATATCTTAAAGTGGAAAAGTGAGAAGAAACGTGAGGGAAATAAAGGAACAGCTGTAACTATAATTTTAGAGGATGAAAGGTATTTTGCTGACCTCTTTTTTAGCCCCATCAATGTACCCCAAGATCTTTGACATCTGACCTTCGTTGATGACAGCACCCATCATGGTGTCTTCCTTCAGAGGGTCTCCAATCTTTAGAGTCTTGGTCTTGTTGACAAAGCTCTCCAGGAACTTCTCATGGATGTCCTTTTGGACGTAGACCCTAGTTCCGTTACAGCAGACCTTCACACATTAAAAGAAAAGCAAGAATATTTGATAGAATTTTGAAATAATTGTGTCCCATGATCCCATCACTCATTAACGCTCTCCAATCTTTAGATTCTTGGTCTTGTTCACAAAGCTCTCCAGGAACTTATTGTGGATGTCCTTTTGGACGTAGACCCTAGTCCCGTTACAGCAGACCTTCATACAAAAAGAAAAGGAGGAACCCTTGATAGAATTTTGAAACAAATTGGTCTCCCGTCATTTATTAAACCACTGGGCTTGATGATGTAAATTTAATGCACTTAACATTCTGGTATTCTATAACTTACAGATAAATGAGTACACATAATAGAGGTGTCGGGGTCTAGTGGATACGTCACCAGACTGTGGATCACATGGTTCACAGTTCATGTCCTGCCGCGGCACTAATGTCCTTTGGCAAGTCATAAATCTACATTTGACACTCTCCACCAAGGTGAAGTTAAGATGATATTATATATTATATTGTTGCTTTTACTCTGTTAAGTTTTCAGAAATAACAATAAAAACAAAGAAAAGAAGAAGAAAAAAGTTAATGGGTACCCAGTAGGAAGCAATTCCTTAAATACTTTTAATAGCACCTTATTATTGCTGCCGAGCTACAGCAGGAGTAATGATATGATACTTTGTATTAAGTGCAGGAGAGTATATTCATATACATGTACTAGCTGTGATATATAAATGGACCTTATTGATAATGGATTATTATTATTACATCTTTATTATGTACAGCTCTTGTTTTTATCCAATTTGCCATTCATTGGCATGTTGAAGGAGCAAACTGCCGCAATAAAGTGCCCAGAGCTTCCAGCATCACTTGTAAACAAACCGATACTATTCACTGCCTACATGACAAAGCTTTCAAGGATGTTCCATTAACTTTGACAGACAAGAAATGATCATGATCTCTTTGATAATTGATATCAAGTATCAAGCACCTACATGTATCAAAGCTACGATACCAAACGCTCATTCCTGGCCATCTTCACCCTGAAGAACCTCTCCAGGGCCCTGTTTCATAAAACTTGTTATCAATAACGAATGCTAACTTTCTATGACAACTCCCCCTCAGGCAATCAAATGCCACGATTTCAGTAGCTTATAACAGCTATTGAAACTTGTGATTGATAATATGTTTTATGAAACAGGACCCAGGAGCATATCATAATAACACTAATAGCTCGTTCTTATGTAGCGCTTTTCAGGACCGCAGCCCCTCTCAAAGCGCTTTACAGATAAGTATATTATTACCCCGGTCATTGGATTCAGGCTCACCTACACACAATGTATGCACATTCTCCACTCCCTGGGGAGCATTCCAGCCAGGCGTCATTTTTACAAGCTCACACTTGCTAATCTAACCACATTAGCTTTCGCATCCTACCGGGCACCCAATTAACACCTGGGTGGAAAGTGGCAAATGTAGATCAATACTACGCTAAACTCAAATTTGTTGTTGTTTCATTTCATTTCTAACTATAATTCAACTATTTTGACCCCCAAAATAAACACCTAAACCATAAACATGACCAAATAACCAATGTTTTATCTCTTTTGGGGAAAATGAGATTTCCATATGTTTTCTACACAAATCACAAAAATGGATGATTTTCGGGCTAACATGCAAAGACAAAAGGTTATGTGACTTTGTAACGGTAAGTCCGATTTTTGAGAATTTTTTATTCAAAAGATGCGCAAGGCTCGAAAGAAAAAATTCATAACATTTCAGCGCAAGATTCTTTGGCGTTAAAAAATTATCTCAAAAAATGTAGAGGGGAGGGGGGGCTTTTAACCCCCCCCCCCCCCCCCCCTCCCCCGTCGGGCTAGATAGGGTTAAAGCCCTGATCTTTGAACACTAAATTCATTTTTTAGTTCTCAAATTACGCTTTGCTGAACAGCAACTTACCTGTCCTTGGGTTAGGAAGTTTGCAAGCATAGCTCCCTTGATGGCGTTATCCATGTCAGCATCGTTGAAGATGATCAGTGGAGACTTGCCTCCCAGTTCAAGGGTCAACTTGGCAACTCGGTTGGAGCAGCTCTGCATGATCTGCCAGGGATCAAATGTTAAAGAACGAAAATGAACAAATTAAATCTTGGGCGATTGATTGGTGCAAGTGGAAATGCAGAGCATTACATAAGGTCCGTCATTCATAAAACTGTAGAGTAAGACTGGTGATTGACAAAACCTGTTGTTGGTTAAACACCAAAACCATGTCAAATCGCCCATGAGAGCCCACTACTATGAGCTTTAAATGTTCAATGACAGCCTAGGGACCGTTTAACAAAGCCTTTTTTCAATGACAAATGACAAAAATCAATGACAACTCTGCTGATAACCAATCAGAAGCAAGGATTTCAGTAGCTTATTACAAAAACTGTCATTTGTCACTGATGACAAGTTTTGTGAAACACCCCCCAGGGGTTGCAGGATAGTATCTCACCTTCTTGGGCACCATTTCACAAAGCATTTTTCAATGACAAATGAACAAAAATCAATGACAGCTCTGCTGCTGATCAATCAGAAGCAAGGATTTCAGTAGCTTATAACAAAAACCGTCATTTGTCACTGATGACAAGTTTTGTGAAAGACCCCCAGGGGTTGCAGGATAGTATCTCACCTTCTTGCCTGTAGGCACACTGCCTGTGAAGGAGACCTTAGCCACATCAGGGTGCTTCGAGAGATACTCTCCAGTCTGTCCTTGCCCCTGGACCACGTTAAACGCCCCCTTCGGTAGTCCACACTCGATGAAGATCTCAGCCAGGATGGGCGCGGTGATGGGGGTAAAGGGGGAGGGTTTGTACACCATGGTGTTCCCGCAGGCCAGGGCAGGTGCAGCCTTCCAGCCAATGTTGGGTAGGGGGTAGTTCCACGCCCCTATACCACCACAGACTCCAAGAGGCTCACGCCTGGTATAGCCGAAGGAACCCCCTGCACAGGGTACATGCTCTCCTGTACATATACAGAGGGAAAGGGTTAGGGAGATAATATGACAATGTCTCTCCGTAGTAATGTCATTCTGTATGCACAGCAAATATCTCCCCCTGACCAAACCCACCCCCCTCCCCCAACACCCTGCCACAGAAACAAACTTATTTCAAAATGTTGTTATATATGTATAATAAGAATTTGTACACAGTCATTTCCAGTCAGTTTGGGTATAGCAACACAGCTTGAGTAGAACATTCATGGAATTTGAATTTAATCTTCTGTAAAACTAGAAATTTAGCACCTTTTTAATAACACCCATACTTGCAGCAAGAACATTAATGGGAATTGCAAAACTTTAAACTTGTGATTCACTCAGTTTGTGGCACAAAACATTCAAAACTCTGATCGCAAAATTTGTGACGGTATCTTACATGCGATTTCTAATTTTATAGTATTATGGAAGCCTGTAAGCTGTTTCTCGAAACCATCATAAGTCTAACATCTTGGACATCCCATTAAAACGTATGCGATAGAATTAAGAAACGCTTCTATATGATGTCCTCGAAATTAGATTTATGACGGTTTCGAGAAACTGGCCCTGGACCCACCAACGATTCCTGGAGCCAGCCCTCCGAAGTAGTCCAGGCACTCTACGATGTTCTTGATATCCTCTCTGGCCTCCCAGATAGGCTTGCCGTTGTTCCTTGTCTCCCATACTGCCAACTCCTCAAGTCGTTCCTGATTTTTTTTTAAACAGTTCAGATGGTGGCGAGAAGTCAGTTTAACACTTCAGTTGCTTTCTTTCTTTGCCTCTCTGCACAATTGCTCATTGGTGCAAAATAATGAGAACCAATTCTTGCTATCGTCTATATATTAAAAATACCTGTATGTTATGTTCAGGCTCCATTTCAAATGCACACTGGGATAGTTTGGTGACCAAGCCGCTTCTGGTCTATTTAGCGCCGCTTCTGGTCTATTTAGCGCAGCTGTTGATATGCGGTACTTTATGTTTCACATAATACATCTGGAAACATAAATTTTCACCTACCGTGTTAACATACATTGTGTTACTTACAGCCCATTCAGCTATAATATAGAGTATGTATACTGTGCCTTGATTGTCTAGATAAATGCATGTCTATTAAAGGGATCCGGTAACTTTGTCTCAGATTCTGAAATAAAATTCTGGATTTAGCTCATGATGCAATTTTAATTATAAACCTTTAGGTCAGTCAGGAACCCCATGACTTTTACAAGCCGATCGCCTGTCTGATTATCAAGATATTTATGATTGGAATTACAAATTTTGAAAATCGTTCGCCTGACGGTTTTCATAACACTACAGTCTATTGGGGAAAATGAGTATGGTAAAACCGGTCACTCAAAGATTTTTACTTTTTTGAGGCACTTCTTGATCATTTTGAGGTGCAATTTTTTTAGGGCTTCAATATTACACCATATCACAGACACTGATAACACGTAAGGCTGTGTATCTCAGATTTAACATTGTTAAACGATCCCTTTAATGTAAAAGGTGATATTTGTTAGTATACTGCAAAAAAAGTGTTTCAAAATGAAAAAAATAATAAAGTGAGGAGAAAACGATCCCTTTCATATTAGTAATACCAGAAAGAATGATAAAAGTCAATAGCCATATACATGTACATGTATATCACAAGACTGTCAGTTTTTACCTCGAGCTTCCTTGCGACCTTCTGTAGAACACGTCCTCTCTCCAAGGCCGGCACTTCAGACCAGACCTCGAACGCTGCCTTTGCAGACTGCACAGCCCGATCTACATCTGCTTCGCTAGCACTTTTACATTCACACAGAACCTTACCTACATGTACAAAGGTACGGAATAAAACAACCCTTATATTTTATTTCAATGTAATCAATATAAATCCACAATCCTAACTATTGTTTACTGCACGGCCCGACCTAGATCCTCTTGCCTAGCACTTTTACATTCACACAGAACCTAACCTACAAAGACAGAGAATAAAACCACCCTTATTTACAGTTAACAACTAAATTATTCATACCCCTTCTAAATTTGATATTTTTTATGTGTGTTTTGTAATTCAAGAATGAAAGTAGGACTAGCTGAATTAGGGCCTTTGTGAAATACATTTAGAAGTAAGCTTAAATACTGCGCACTCTCAAAAAAACATATGGGACAAATCAATTTTTCACATATTTCAACAATTACGGGAATGAACAATTTAGTTGTTGACTGTATCTATTATTTTTATGTAATCAATATATATATATCAACAATGTTTAGTGCCGATCGCCTGTCTGATTATGAAGATATTTATGATTGGAAATCGAAATTTGAAAATTCATTTTGCTAACGGTTTTTATAACACTACAGTCAATTGGGAAAATGAGTATGGTTTACTGGTCACTCAAAGATTTTTACTTTTTTGAGGCACTTCATGATCATTTTGAAGTGCAATTTTTGTTAGGGTTTCAATATTACACCATATAGACACTGATAACACGTAGGGCCATGCATCTCAGATTTAACATTGTTAAACGATGCCTTTAATGTTGATTGCTGAGTAAATAATACATATATTTACATTTGTGCTATAACCCAGGACTTTGAAACCCTTGCAGGCAAATGACCTCCTAAAATTCAGGATGACCTCATGTTAAAGCTCCCTATCAGGAGATTCAAAACAGCAGATTTCCTATTTTATAAAATTCAAATCGCTATTCCACTTGCCACTTCCATACTCCATATGCTACTTCAATTATCATTGTTATAGTTGTAACCTGAATATGGATAAACTTTCTCACTGAATAATGACAAAATGAGCAGCAAGTATTTGTAAATGTAGGTAGTAAAATTCATTCGTCAGATTTGTTTTGAAAACATGTACCTGACGATACATCATTCTTAAGGCAGCATCTTTGAGAATCACCCCGTTTAAATTAACCTGTCTACTAAAGTCAATTTCACTATTATAATTATTATTATTTCAGTATTCAAACTTGTTCAACTTCTCTTTCAAGACGTCATACTAGAAGCTGACATTTTGAACATGTACATATACAGTCAAACCTGCTTTAGTGACCACCTGTATAGAAAGACCACCTGACTACAATTTTTTTGTTTCCCTTGAAAACGGTTTCTCATTGAAACATGTGCTAAAGGAACCTGTACATAAAGACCACCTGCCTATAAAGACCACTTTTCTTGTCTCCCTTGGGGGGTCTTTATAGACAGGTTTCACAGTAGTATACAGTCAAACCTGTCTATAAAAGCCACCCAAGAGAAACAGAAAATGTGGCCAAGTACTGTCGAATGGCCACTGTAGACAGGTGGGCTTTCTAGACAGGGTCTGAAACTCACATTTCTTTCTTGAGGGAGACAAAATGCATGGCCACTATAGACAGGTGGTCTTTATAGAGAGGTGGCCACTAAGACAGATTTCTGCATGGAACCTAAAACATACATTTATATTTTCAAATTATGTATTGGTATTTAAAATACTATTTATCAAAATGAATTTAAGTGTTGTAATTGAATACCAGCAGTGGCGACTTACCAGTAGCAGGTTCATAGACTTTGAAGTCCTGAGAGTCGTCGGTGTTTGTGGGCGGGACCCGTTCACCGTCGATGAAATTCAGGGGTGCGGTCAAGACAGGGTCAGTCATGTTGAAACAGGAATTATCTAAGAAAAGGACATTTCAGAATGGAAATATGTATAAAGAAATAAGTGGCAACTATGACTAGAGATACATGTAGGAGACTGCAAACTTGTGCTTGATTGGACGACTTGCGATTGATCCAAACCATATACTTCGCATCAATTCTTTGGTACCACACTAATCGCATTCGGGCCTACAAAGTCATCTGTTTCAGAGCCAGAAGGGGGTTAACTCTTTGTTTATGGAATGACCTAACGTCCCTCTAAACGGACATAAAATGCAGGCTACATGCTATAGCTGGCACCTACATGTATCCACCTCAAGGTTTTTTTCTCCATATGCCACAGAAAGCGTGTTTCACATTTATGTTTGTTTCATCACAGAGATACATTAAAGCCACACTGCAGTACTTATAACTACATGCACCTATCCACCTCACGGTTTTTTTCTCCATATGCCACAGAAAGCGTGTTTCACATTTCTGTTTGTTTCATCACAGAGATACATTAAAGCCACACTGCAGTACTTATAACTACATGTACTTGCTCCCTCTATATAACAAACCATTCAAAATCGGTGACCATTGGTCCCGCATGATCCTCTTTTTCTTATGTTAATTGAGAGCTGATTTGATGAGATAACCACCTGTCCAGTGACCTTGCAGGGTAGTCTAATAATCCCTCCTGTTCACTAGTATTGATGCAGCTTTAATTTGAGCGCAAAATATGCTGTGGTTTACTATGTGGAAAGAGCTAGACTCCAACGCGTCGCAATGATATCGCTGCAATTAAAACCATCTGGATTCTGGATCCCGGATCGAGGCAAGCTACATGTGAGCAAACAAAACATTAATAAAAGCCTGTCAGAATACACATCATATCTGATAACCAATCTGCATGGTAATAGATGAAGGGGAGTAAACAACCAAAAAAAATCTTTAGGGCGATTCCATGCAATGTTTATATGCGTTAAAGGGATCGTTTAACAATGTTAAATCTGAGATACACGGCCCTACGTGTTATCAGTGTCTGTGATATGGTGTTATATTGAAGCCCTAAAAAATTGCGCTTCAAAATGATCAAGAAGTGCCTCAAAAAATTAAAAACCTTTGAGTTACCGGTTTTACTATACTCGTTTTTTTTCCCCAGTAGACTGTAGTGTTGTTAAAACCATTTAGCATGCGAAATCTTTGACCGCTCTGACCTCATGACGTCACTCATCATGGCAACAGGACCTCTCAAAAAAGGGGGTGCTACGATAGATCTCACTGCGGTGTGAATCCGGTGAATGCCAATGGGCGGACTGTGGGTCGCGTAACAATAGCGCGATCCACGGTCCACCCACAGTCCCCCCTTGCGGTGTGAACACGCCCTTAAATGCCATCATCCCTGATACACTAGTGTACGGTATCATATTTCCAAGTCAATTCAGAAATCAGCTCAATCAAACATTCCTAATTACTCGCAGACTTTACAGATATATAATGTAAATGAAACAATACCATTTTCACAGCTGTGTAGCAATGAATACAAAAACACTGAAAGTAGTCATTACTATTTACTCAACTAATGCAATGAAGGGAGTGTGTATTCCACCTAGATTTACATTTTACACTGTACTAATCAGCTACTTCTGAAATAAAAGTTAAGAAATTTGAGCTTTATTCAAATAATTTGAAATGGCTCTACTTTAGTTGGAAATACATGTACATAATGTACAGTAGCTGTAAAAATAATATCATCATTGTAAAGAGAAATAAATTGCTTCTGTGTTCATGTAGTATTCATCCGTTTTGAGCCACAAAAGCCTTAACTCATACATACACTAAATTGTTATGGCTCCACACACATGATTTCCTTTCCCTTTTAATACTGTAGTGATATGACTACAGGTGTTTATGCAGGTTAAAGGGATCGTTTAACAATGTAAAATCCGAGATACACGGACCTACACTGTACGTGTTATCAGTGTCTGTGGTATGGTGTAATATTGAAGCCCTAAAAAAAATCGCGCTTCAAAATGATCAAGAAGTGCCTCAAAAAAGTAAAAATCTTTGAGTGACCGGTTTTACCATACTCGTTTTCCCCAATAGACTGTAGTGTTATGAAAACCGTCTGGCGAACAGTTTTCAAAATTTGTAATTCCAATCATAAATATCTTGATAATCAGACAGGCGATCGGCTTGTAAAAGTCATGGATTTCCTGACTGACCTAAAGGTTTATAATAATCATTGCAGCATGAGCTAAATCCAGGATTTTGTTTCAGAATCTGAGACAAAGTTACCGGATCCCTTTAATGCATTCATTGTACCTTCTTTGTAAACACTGTTGATGCATACTTTTATTAATGTATTCATGCCCATGCATGCTCATTGAATATTGTTTACCGGTAAGTCATGGCTTACACAAGGTGCAGTGGTTGATTTGAATATATTATATGTATATACAGTGTACATGTACCATTCAGGTGTAGGTCTGCAACTAGTGTAAGGCTTGATTGTTATTCGGACATTAAAACAATGTTAGAATGGGAGGGTTAGCTCCTTGGTTATGTTGGTAGAGACTACATGTATAATAGAGAGACACATGTTCTGATGGGCTCTGACAAGGAGGTGCTTATAAGACTGAACCTACAACGTATCAATAATTATGCCTGGAACCAAATAATAGCTAGTTCTTTTATAGCGCTTTTCAAGACCGAAGGCCCTCTCAAAGCGCTTTACAGATATATATTATTAACCTGGTCATCGGATTCAGACTTACATGTACCCGCACACAATGTATGCACATGTTCCACTCCCTGGGGAGCATTCCAGCCAGGCGTCATTTTTACAAGCTCACACTTCTAATCTAAGCACAGTAGCTTTCGCATCCTACCGGGTATCCATTTAACACCTGGGTGGAGAGTGGCAAATGTAGATCAATGTCTTGCCAAAGGAATAGTGCCACGGTGGGACTTGAACCGCGAACCTTGTGATCCACAGTCCGGTGACATATCCACTCGTCCACAACACCTCAACATGGAATGGAATTCTTGAATCCTGCGTCCTTATTGCTTCACAATACAATGTCACGTTTGTATTGATAATGATTATCCAAAGTTCCATTATTTTTCCAAGGACAAATGGCATGCTAGTCCAACAATATTGCTAACTCCAAACCAACCAGCAAGGTCAGGGTTAAATTTTTTTTTGGAAACAGATACATGTATATATTTGTTCCCCACCGGTATATACGTGAAACGTGTACATTATAACATACACTTTCTCACATGCCTCATTGGCATCAACATCGTGGAAACTCCATGTTTCATAACTCCGGGAAGCTCCAACACCGGCGCCGCAGGCGTCGGAGCTTCGGGTGGTTTCGTTGGTTTCTCGTGGGGGCTAGTAAAACAGCCGATTGGGTGATATTATCGTTAAATCTGCAAAGGGAGTACTTACAATTTTTACATCATAGGGTGCACGACTCCTCAGGGCTCAACTCCAATCATATTTGAAGAAGTCTTCGATGGGAAAAAAAGGTTAATTCGGGGTACTACACCAACGATTCTTCCATGTCGCAGCGTTGATTCAAAATAGCGATGAGAAGGTACGCATGCACGGTAGTGGCGAAGAAAATATGAATATTCATGCTATCGAGCGCCGACTGCTCAAAATCGCTGAATATGCACGACTCAAACAAACAAAGCCCTTCTCAACCTTGTGCATATTCAGCGATTTCGAGCGATCGGCACTCGATAGCATGAATATTCATATTTTCTTCGCCACTACCGCGGATGCGTACCTTTTTTCTCATCGCTATTTTGAATCAACGCTGCGACATGGAAGAATCGTTGGTGTAGTACCCTGAATTAGTCTTTTTTTCCCATCGAAGACTTCTTCAAATTATACATTCAAGTGATTGGAGTTGAGCCCTGAGGAGTCGTGCACCCTATGATGTAAAAATTGTAAGTACATGTACTCCCTTTGCAGATTTAACGATAATATCACCCAATCGGCTGTTTTACTAGCCCCCACGAGAAACCAATGAAACCACCCGAAGCTCCGAAACCAATGAAACCACCCGAAGCTCCGACGCCTGCGGCGCCGGTGTTGGAGCTTCCCGGAGTTACATGTTTTTCACTGCAAACCGCTGCACAATATACATGTACTGTACAAGTACATACCGCGTAATACATGTGCTGTGCGGGCGGGCGGGCGGGTACACGTGCATGAAATTAGCGACAGAAATGAGGATTTGAAAGTTATTTGTCTATTATTATAATGTCTTCATTTTTAGAAAAAAATACTGCAAATAGAGATAAGAAAATTGACACAAAACAGGTAAGAAAGATAACAACTCTGAAATCATCACCATTATTTGAAGTTGCATTGTTGAAGTTTTGATCATTGTGATAGGGAGGCCAATGCCCGGGCGTAAGGCTTCTACACCTACGATTTGTGCGCTCGTCGCCGACTTCAAAAAATTAGCAAAGGGAAAAAAATGATGTAAAAATAAAAATTGAAGAAAATAAGAAAAGAAAATACAATTATACATTTCACAACATACCTATAATCACGGATCTGTAACAGTCTTTCACCATTTGTTGACAATCTTGCAGATTTTGACGTTTTTTTAATCCATTAATTGTGGTTGCAGACGACCTTGACGCACTCGCACCACCGACTAAGAAAATCCTAGAGGGCGTAGAGGTTTGCTCACTAAAAACCTTCTCATTGGCAGAAGGTAGACCCTAAAAATATGGGATCCGTTTTGAGTAAAGAACTTTTGATAGAGATCAACATTTCAGATGTCTTATTTATAGACCCTAGTACCTTATTCTCACAGCACTAGATACGAGTGTCGTGCAGTAATGTATGAGAAGTGTTAAAAAAGATATTTCAGTAAAAAAAAAAGTCTACGTGAGCAGTCTATACTCCAATTGAGAATTGAAATGAAAGCCATGATTTGAAGGTGTGTGTTGTATGATACATGCATGGTTAGTGAGTGTGTACGTATAGCGAAAGGGAGAGAGAGAGAGAGTGAGAGAAATATTAGTACACGTACGTTGCATGCATATGGATGTGCGCTATGATTGTGTTCGCTGCAAGATGGATGTTAATTGGACCTCGTAACTTCTCGATCGTTGATAATAAGGAATACTCATGAGGAAATCAAATTATTGGAATACACATCTAAGGTAAATATCAATGAATTATAGACCCTATATATTTCTTTCCTGCCAATTTTGATATCTATTCTTCATTTCTGAACCATCGTCTTCGGCTCGTAGTAGTAGCAGATGTAATCGTTCGCACATTGATGGCTGGACTTCAGCCTGCATCGGGGCTTGCCTGTGTCGGTGGAGGGATCAACTAAGAAGAAGAAGGTGTGTACGTGTGCGACCGATTCAAGGCTAGCCGCTGTTGAGTGATTGCACTTTCGCGCGAAGTTTTAAACTTCATCATGGACTTTGTCCCTCGGGCCTGTCTAATCATGAACGTAACTTTGCGACATGAAATATAATTGTTTCAAGGCTCTTACGTACGGAAAGGCGTAGAAGGAAGCTGGATAAAAAGAGCTGGATATCTCCTATTTGATGGAACTTCTGGAGTCGGCAGATGGGTGGATTTTCTTAGTGAAAGTAAATGCTTTCTTTTAATCTTAGTTTTAGTATAAACAAATTAGTAATTAAAAAGTTAGATTTGGGCATTGGCCTCCCTAATTGTGATTGTTGGTGTGTTAATAGAATTAGTTGGCTCCATCCATGCCACAGTCATGGGTCCAAAGACAAAATTAAAGCATGGTAACAGTTCTGAACAAGCGTCGGGTGGAGGAGGTACACATATTCTCTTTCCAAACATAAGCTTTAGTTTAGCTCTACCTAAAAGAATATGGTGTTCTCGTGGAATAAGCCACTGCACTGGCCACTCGTAATCGAGTGTGTGCACAACCATCGCACATTCTCACATTGTACTATTCGGTCTACACGCAATGTCATAAAGTGAACCACAACCGCAACGCAAGTGAACGAGCAGTGGCTTATTTCATTTTTTATTGCCAAGAATATAATGTAATCTAAAACACGAATTATGTATTTACTAATGAACTTACTGAAAATGCCAGTCAAGAAGATTCAAACTGCCAAGGCTTTTCAGGCTACGAGGTGGACAAAGACAATGCGTGATATGCAGCAGTCGAAAAGGCGAGTTCAGCAGCTGTTTTCGCAGGGCAGCTACTTGCAAAGACTGGTAAAATAACGATACTCCGTTCACAATAATGCACGCTAATGACAAATGAATGGCACATGTGTTAGTGAGATTCGATACAAATCTTGATGCTCAAAGTCACTTGGTGGGCGTGGCTTCCCTAGAAACTTTTTAAAGGGATAGTTGAGTTCTGTTGCAGAGGGCGCTACACAAAATAAATTTGTTTGTGAGTTAATGAAAAACTGAGTGTCAAATTTGAAAGAACATAATATTTAAATGACAAAATCATCTTTGTTTGATCAAAATCATTTCAGACATGGCTGAAATATAACCATTTCCGTGTAGCAAGGTATCCAAAATATAGCCTACTAAAACAGACCTCAAATTTTAGACCCCAAATTTCGTGTTTATCATTATCTCTAGGGTTAGGGTTAGGGTTAGGGTTAGGGTTAGGGTTAGGGTTAGGGTTAGGGTTCTAGGGTTAGGGTTAGGGTTAGGGTTAGGGGTAGGGTTAGGGTAATGATGACCACAAAATTTGGGGTCTGTTTTAGTAGGCTATATTTTGGATACCTTGCTACACTAGCGCCACGATTTCTAATACTTGTGTACCACCACAAAATTAGATATTTTGAAAAATTTGAAAAAAAACGAAATAACGCCTTTTACGTCGTATTTCAGTCAATGCCGATGTTGGCTTTTGTGTTGGCATTTTCGTGTTGGTTAAATTACGCACAACCTGCCAGCCCATGTATTGTTATTTTAAATTAAAAAATTAATTAACGGTCATCGTGTTTTTTTTAAAGTGGAGCTGAATTGGTATGATCGTATTGGCTAAAAGGCATTTCACACATTTTGGGGTCTAAAAGGGCACTATAAATGTCATAGACAAGAATAAGAACAATAACCATGCACTTTGAAGGCATTTGCGGTCTGAAAACAGAACTCAACCATCCCTTTAAGGTACCTACATCCCACCACTTGAAACATGTAGAAAATTGCTTCCACTAATTGCTCTGTCAATTCATTTAAGATAGTGTTTAAACACGGTTGTAATTTGAGAATAGCTCAGCCGAACATACAATACGTGCATATTCTGTAATTATATTAACATGGTTTATTCACATATTGACTTATAGTCGATATTTTCCTATCGTGAACTTAGTTACTGAACAGATATGATTATTTTGCAAACGAGTATTCTTTTGTGCCACGTCTATTATTGCTGTGTTATATCTTTCTTAATGTATACTATGGACTTTTGTCTTATAGATGTTATGCTTTTTGATTTAAATATGTTCATAATTATTCAGGGCCCCATGGAAGACCACTTATTGGTGAATGGGCTATACCCTGACAACCAACGGTGTCGATTTGTATCTGTGGTTGGGGGGGGGATGATATGTGCCAAAATATTTTCGGCAATGGATCAAAGCCGGGATCAAAGTAGTCCAGAATATGCACGGTCCTTTATAATTTCCCTACACTTTGTTGCTCTCTTTCTTTCTATTTCTCTTTAATATACTTTTTCAAAAAAGTTGAGGGGGAGGGGGAGGGAGCTCGAGGTTCCCGATCTCCGCCGTTCCGCAGGCCCTGACAATGTAGGCATCTCAATATGCCTGACTGTAAATTTAGGAATTTGTCATTTCCAACAAGTGCATAAAAAGTATAATTTAAAGTAAAATTTCGGAAAATTATGTCATTTCAGCATCATTTGTAAATCACCGGTGTGGAATTAAAAATAAACCACGAATTGTATTCCCCCAAGTCCTCTCACCCTATTAGTACAGTGCCCCCCCCCCCCCATGTTTCCTCATATGGAAACGTTTGCTTGTATTTGTCTCATAAAAGAAGTTGATCATAAACTGACTCCCACACGGTGTTGAGTGCTCAGGGGTCACAGGCCACGGGCTTCATCGGGCAGGTAGTTCCATTATGTGAATGGGTAAATTAATTATTACAAAATGAGGGTACACATTACATTGTACAATAGGGACACACATTGTTTTTATTGTGCAGAACATACTCTTTTATTGACTTACTTATTGCATGAAACTATAAAACCAAAATGCATTTTGTATTCTAACAATTGGAGTACAAAGAATAATAACAGGTGAATGAAATGCATAAACACCACAAACACCTGGGGAGGAAGCATTCAAACATTTGAATACATATAGTTAATAAACGACTCCGATGAAACTATAAAACCAAAATGAAATTTTCGTTCTGGCAATTGGAGTACAAAGAATGATAGCAGGTGAATGAAATGCTTCACCAGCAACACAAACACCTGGGAAGCTAGGAAGCTCCATACATTTGAATAATTTAGTTGATAAACGACTCCGCATGTGGACGTTTGTTGGAGCAGAAAGCAGTGGATTCTTAACAACACGAACCCATTTAACGGAATGTCGAAACGTAAATTAAATTTGGCGCGGTTGGAAAATGCATCTTTCTACCCTGCGACCATTATGATCCAGTAAAATAAAACAGTAAAATGGCTCTTATTTTAAAATTACTCGTTAAATAACACCCAAAACTTCAGTGATATCAGAAAAAATATGTTAAATCTTACTAATAGTTAAAAAAAAAAAGATGTATAAACATTGTGAAAGTGTCGCATTTTACGATAAAAGACGCCGATTTAGCGAAGATGACGTCATTAGTGCGCTTGCATCAAGGAAATTCAAGGTCAAAAGGTCAATTCAGACACTGATAAGTTATTGGTCGAGCCTTTTTGTTTCCTTTATTCCGACAAAATTATACAATCAATCAAAACAAGTTTAATACCAGAAGAAAGCTAACGATTAGTATTTCCATTAATCGCTTGCCCCAAAGTCGCCTGACCACAGTGAAAGGAGTGAGAGCTTGCGAGAGCGGCCAAAGTGTGATTGAAACTCGCTATTTGCTCTTCTCCAACGCAAAAAGGGACGACATTGTGTTGGATAAATGTATTTTTTCCGACAAAAGTACAGAAAATTTGCATATGGTCTTTTTATATTTTACTTTATGAAATGTTACCCAATTGAATTCCGGGTGCCCCAATGCTGGGAAGTAACGCACATTTTAGAAAACTTCACTTTTTCATTGAAAAATGCTTATTTGTTCTATGCACGCAAGTCAGATTGAGCGGATGATACAACGTTTCCATATGTTATAGCTCTCCACTTTCCCTTTTCCTCCATTCTCTCTTTCTTTTTTTAGCGGGGGCGGGAGGGGGAGGCAAATTCCCCCCCCCCCCCACTCCCGATCCACAACTTGTTGGCGGGAAATTGCATCTGATATGCCCTTCTTTTTTTCTTCTTCCTCATTTTTCCTTACCATTATCTCCTCTAGACTTTTCCTTTTTTTTCTTTCCTTTTCCTTCCGAGGCAACAGCCTGGGAGGCATGGCCCTTTCGGCCCCCTCGATCGCCTTCTTCCCCCTTTTCTTTTCTTCTTCCTCTTCTTTCTTTCCCTTTCTCTCCCCTTTCCCTCTTTCCCTCCTTTCCTTCCCTCTCTTTTTTTTCGGGGGGGGGGGGGGCAAGGCCCGCTCGCCCCCCCTAGATCCGCGCCTGTCTGGGAGGACAAGCACTTTCAATATCCCTACAGGAAAGTAATATCTTACGAGACCACTGCTCTACCACTGAGCCATCGCGCCACCTCAGTTGGAAGTTAGTAAATTTCATTTTGAAGGTGGGATAGATTTTGTGAACAATGGAAGTTTAATCTTTAAAAGGATAGTTATGTTGCAGAGGGCTCTACACAACATTTTTTTGGTGAGATAATGAAAAACTGAGTGTCAATTTTGAAAGAACATAATATTTAAATGACAAAATCATCTTTGTTTGATCACAATCGATTCAGAGACATCTGAAATATAACGATTTCTAATACTGTCTTGTGTATCACCACAAATATTAGATATTTTGAAAAATTTGAAAACCGTTGAAAAAAAACGAAATAACGCCTTTTACGTCGTATTTCAGCCAATGCCGATGTTGGCTTTTTTGTTGGCATTTACGTGTTGCTTATATTACCCACAATTAGCCGGCTCATGTATTGTTATTTTTAATTAAATAATTAATTAACCGTCACCGTGTTTTTTTTTAAGTGGAGCTGAATTGGTATGATCGTATTGGCTAAATTTTACACATTTTTGGGTCTAAAAATTACCTTCATAGCAATTTTAGGTTCTAAAAGGGCACTATAGATATCATAGAAAAGAATAAGAGCAATATCCATGCACTTTGAAGGCATTTGCGGTCTGAAAACAGAACCCAACTATCCAAAAAACCGATGGAAGTTAGTATGAGATTGATTGGATATTTCGAAATGATGTGAAGTCACAGAAGAGTTATATAGAGAGAGAATGGCAGAATTACTTAAAGTAGAGAGATAGAGAAATAATATACATATATAGAGAAAGGGCCATTGTGTGGGGGGTTTGCGTGTGTGTTTTTGCGTGAGTGCGCGTGTGTGGGAGAGGGAGGTAGAGGTGGGGCGCGGGTACCGATGATGAAGAAATTTGTGTGTGAGAGAGAGAGAGAGGAATCAGAGGATAGTGAAAATATCGTGGGAGAGAGAAAGAAAATGATGAAAAAGAGAAGAAAATGAATAAGATAGTCATTAAGGTAGAGATGAGAATTTTGCAAGAAATACCCTGATGAGATATCAAGCGGTATCAACAATAGTGGGGGCTGTAAGGGATATTTTGGTGCAGATTCTTCAGAAAGCACCAAATTTGGCCCAGAGGTAGATTATACCATACTATTACGATTTCTGCCGCCGGGACCGTGCGCCAAGAAGGGCGCTCTCTGGGACTGCCATATTGGGCAAATCCAAAATGGCCGCCATCTGAGTTAAAGGTCAAGCGTAGTTCCAAAAGGAAAAGCGCTTGTATGATAATAGTTTATATTTATAGGGTTTCATTGATTTGAGGTCTCCTTGGGGCTGCCATACTGGTCATATTGGTCAAATAAAAAATGGCCGCAATCGGAGTTACAGGTCAAGTGTAGTTATGAAAGGAAATGGGCTAGTATGATAACAGTTTATATATTTATGGGGGGTTTCGGGGTCAGAGAAACTGATTATGATGTTCTTTCATCGATTTGAGGTCTCTTTGGGGCTGCCATACTGGTCATATTGGTCAAATCCAAAATGGCCGCCAGCTGATAGTTACAGGTCATGTGTAGTTTCGAAAGGAAATGGGCTAGTATGATAACAGTTTATATATTTATGGGGGGTTTCGGGGTCAGAGAAACTGATTATGATGTTCTTTCATCGATTTGAGGTCTCCTTGGGGCTGTCATGCTGGTCATATTGGTCAAATCCAAAATGGTTGCCACCTCTGAGTAAAAGGTCAATTGTAGTTCTGAAAGGAAAAGGGTTAGTATGATAAAAGTTTATATATTAAGGGGGTTTTCGGGGTCAGAGAAGCTGATTGTGCTTGTATCAATTACAGGTCTCCTTGGGGCTGTCATGCTGGTTATATTGGCCAAATAAAAAATGGCCGCCATCCGATCCGAGTTAAAGGTCAAGCGTAGTTTCAAAAGGAAAAGGAGCAGTATGATAAAAGTTGATGAATTCATGGGGTTTCCGGGTCGGGTAATCTGATTATGATGTTCTTTTATCAATACGCGAGTTCGTAATTGCACACTGCGCATGATTTTGTACGTGAGATTGTTTTGCTAAATATAAAATACAAGAATCTTTTCCATATCTTTAAACTATCATTGATATCTGATAATGAAACAGATAGTAAAATAAACCTACCAAACTACATAATACAATGAAATACTTGACTGAAAGTAGGGGAGTTCGATGTGGTGCACAATTGCACCCCTCTGTTAATAATCGAATAGTCCATGGTGTTCATGAATATTCATGAATTTGCTTACCTCGGCAAAATGCTTGCCTATACTGGAAAAATTATGGTGGGTGGTTGGATGAAATGTATATAATGAACAAATCAGAACTGATCTATGATAATTCATGCTTCTTATCCTTCGTGTGCTTGACTTATAACCTTACACTCGCGTGGTAAATTGAGTCCAAAGTTCGACTTGTTGTACATGTGTTACATAGGCAATGACGAGCTTGCGACCTACTTTGATCAAATTACGGTGGGTGAACTTTCAAAAGTCAATGGGACATGAGGGTTCCAATGAAAGAGCTAGTGTTAACGTACGTCGGGGTGGGTGTGCTTTTCGTTTAAACAAAAAATGAATTTTTAACGAGTTTGTTGGGTAAAAGTCCAAAAGCTAACGTACATGTTAGGCTGCTGGACTCTGCCGATAGGGGGCGTTCTCAAATGAGACTAAACGGAGCTATAATTATATATGAACATAAAGAGAGCTGAGAGAGGAACTGTAATTTGTTTGTGTGCTGGCCTTTCCTTTGTGAATGATTACATCTGACACATCAGTCACCGAAAATCATTTCTGAATGTCGGAATTGGTTCTTTATAGTAAACTTTACTTGGAATCTGGTCATCGGTGTAAAGTATTATCGGCATTATCGTGATCCAAGTCCCCAGGGACTCGGATCAACGGACACTTTTTACTCTGAAAAAGCATTTCCAAAATTGTATCCACCAAAGCGCGCGTTTAATGGATTATTACTTTTTTAGTCAAGCCAATTTATCTAGTAGGTCTATTAAAGTCATTCACTATTTAATTTAAAGCAAACTATAATTTAAATTCAATTAGACAAGCATAGATTAGGCTGAATAAATGAATATTATGTTTATTAATTTCACATTGCCTTTAACGATTATTGAAGACGAAATATAACTTTCATTAAATTTTGTGTTAAATGATATTACTGATTTATTTAGTCAAGCCAATTTATCTAGTAGGCCTATTAAGAGAAACACTATAAAACTCTTTGGTTATTCTTCGTGGTGCGAGTCCCCCTTGCGTGTTAAGATCATCAAATTTCCCATAGGACGGGACTTACACAGCGGCGAATCCAGCCGGTGGCAAGAGGGGGGGGGGGGGGGTAATTCGTGATAAAATATTGAGCGGCGACTCAACAAGCCGGTGAACAAGCATTTTTTTTAAATGTATTTATTTATTATTATTATTATTATTATTATTATTATTATTATTATTATTATTATTATTAATCCCAGTAGTGGGGGGCGTCGAACACTCTTGTACACGTCATGTGATTCCTGACTGAAAAAAAGGTTTATAATTATGATTGCAGCATGAGCTAAGTCCAGCATTTTGTGCGCCAATATTTTAAAAAGAGAGTGCAATCGCCGAAATTTATTGTTATGGTATATTAATTGATAACGTAGACATTTTAAGTTTCTCTTCGAATTCTGCGATTTTGTAAGAACTATGGTACTTTTGTTTTAAGCGCTCCTAAATAAGCGCTAATATGAGTAGTCGTAATAGTAGCGTTTCAAAATTTCAAAATTCAATCAAAATTGTCTTGTTTAGTACAAATATAAAAATGTTATTCAATGATTATTTTTAATGATTCTTAATGATTAATTTAATGTATAGATCTTTGAGTTTTAGATGGGGCTAAACTTGACTAGTTACATAACAATGTAAGAGAGATTATTTTTAAGGATAATACAGTTCAAGCTGTCTGGGTTTTTGAAGATAACGCTTCAAAACAAATCGAACAAGCTGTTTATTTTTTTAGTTATGATCTGTTTCTACTGTTTATCTATTTTCATTGCCAACCCTCGAAAACAAATTTATTATGCATTTCACAGAGGAAAGTTTGCATAGGAGAACTATATATATATATATATATATATATAATTATATGTATGCATACATATATATACGAATTATTTATTGGGCTTGTTTTGCTTTCCAATAGATCCGTACAATATGGCACAGCTTTAGGGGTCTGGCAGAGCCCCAGGATGCTCTCGAGTTGATTTGACTCTCAAGAGCAAGTGTCTCTAAGATATAAAGAGAGGTTATTTCTCAAATGAAATGAAAGGTCTCTTGAAAGTAAAAAAAACTAAAATAGTTCTTTCATTTCAATTTTTGGAAATAAACTCTAATCCATCCTTTGATATTTAAATTGCACGGCTCCTACTGTCTGCTTTTTTTCAAACTCTCCCTGATCTATAAAGGGTGCTTTCTTTATTTGATCATCAACTGAAACATTTTGCTAGGCCACGAACTTTTCGAAGCGTGACCAGATTAAGTATGCTTAAATGGGGGCATTGATGTATGTAGGGAAAACAGGATTAAGATCCCATGCAACGCTTCGAAATGTAGTAGAAGAATAAGAAAAATAAAGTTGAGATTCGACCTTTATGTCTAGACGTTGCTTGGATTTGCCCAATATGGCAAAGCCAGAGGGCGCCCTTCTTGGCGTCCGGCAGAAATCGTAAAAGTATGGTATAATCTACCTCTGGGCTAAATTTGTTGCTTTTAGAAGTATCTGCACCAAACAACCCCTATTTAGCCCTGACAGCCCCCACTACAAAGAAAGAAAGAAACATTCTCAAGGATAATTTTTTTTCTCCTATTCTCCCTTTGCTATTCACCTTTTTGCGTTTTTCCTTTTTTTTCACCCCTTCAAGTAGACCTGCCCCCCCCCCCCCCCCCCCCCCCCCCCCGTATACGCCATACACCACGGCACTGCACATATCATTAGCCTCACAAAGGATATCTTGATGGGCAATGATTATCGCCGAGTCACACAAAATGGATACACGACCAGACTATGTCTTGAGTTTCACTGACTGTAGTGGGTACCAGTAAGTAACAAAATTGATTCACATCGTTTCCTTAATGCTACAAGTTTTTATTATACCAGCAAAAAGATGATTGTCTCTGGGTGCACGTTTCATTAATAGAGGTTGATAATTATGCTGCACAACGTAAACCACAGCTTGAGAACATACTAGACTGACGAGTTGGCGCAATCAAAAGTAACACAAATATTGGGTAAGTTTAAAGATCTTGTATATTTCCGTTTCTTTTTCTGTCTTCTGTGTTACAATTTACAGAAAGTACATGAATATTATTCAAACCGATTTAGACAGCCTAAATCCTAAAAATGGAGTAGCCAAGTTACTTGATTTATTGAAGTGTGCCGATATATGGGTGTATTCAGCGAATACTGAGGGTTCCATGGGCAGATAGAAAAACAAACCTATGGAGACTGGACGAGCTGGTTACAAAGATGCCCCCCCCCCCCTCCACATTCCGGGGTCGGAGGGACCGCATGCGTGTTCCCAAAATGACCAAGAAAGGGGTACTTTTCATGCACCAACATCCAGCTCGTAGTACACAAAACTCCGGCCCGTATTGACTTTACACACCGGACTTAGGGGGGGGGGGGGGGGGTTCAAAAGGAGGGAACATGCATACGCGTACCATAACACTGAGTGTGGGGGGGGGGCGGGCAGAGATGTCACTTCGAAAGTGTATTGCCAGAAGGAATTAAACTGCAGGTTCTGGGCCATGAAGGAGGGAGAGATGGACTGTTATTTCATGGTTGAAAGTTATCCACATATAGACAGGGAAAAGCTGTCATCAGAGGCAACAAGAGCAACAGCAGACAGATGAGGATGGTATAAATTTATTCTAGGACTATTACCCCCTTGACAATCACCCCCGGCCAATTACCGGCGGGACAATTACCCCCCATGGACAACCATCCCGAGGACAATTACCCCTTAGGACAATCCCCCTGAAAATTACCCCACAATTGCCCCCCCCCCACCCCCGAATACACCAAATTATTATCAGGATATGGACTTCTCCTTCAATGAACAGGGGGTAACTTTCCGGGGGGGTCGTTCTCCTTGGGGGGGGGGGGGGTAATTTTACGCTGACTTTCGGAGAATCGACGAAAGGCAATTTCAACTTCTTGTCGATTACCTTTTGAAATGCTGGATATAGCCTACAGTAGAAAACTAGAAAGGTATAGAAATTACTCTTGAGCAGTAGGGAGTAACCATTTCTGGGTTGTAAAAGGAGAAACTGATCATGTTAGTTTGTATATTATTAACAATTATGAACGCAATAATTGTCATCACACATTAAATATATATGATACTAATTATGCTGTTAAAGGGCCACTCTAACTTTCAAAACATAAATACACCTCTACATATTAATAATCCAGCCTCTGATATTTCAGAAAATCTCTAAATTTACCCCAAAATGATAATAGCCACCCATTTTCCCAGTTCTCACGCTTGCTGGGCTACGCCCCTCAAAAAAAGGCAATACAGTCACGTTGCTTGATGACGCATTTGACGTCATTGCGGGCATGTCCAATTTGATAATCTCATAATTTCATAATAAGGCATGATAGGGGCGGATCCAGCCGGCGGCAGGGGGGGGGGGGGGGCAATTCGTGCGAAAATATTTAGCGGCGAAACAGCCGGCCGATAATTCGCATAGTTGGGGAGGGGGTAGGGGGGGCAGTGAGCACTAATTTATTTATTTGAAAATTGAAAATCGTGCCGGTGTGGTAGGCGATTTGTTCCGGGTTCCGCGGAACAGATCGGCGCGCCGATTTGTTCCTCGGAACGAATCTACTGGATCGACTCGTTCGCAGATACGTTCGAAAGCCGCCGTTCTTATCCGACATTGGCCGAACGTTTCTGCTTATATAATCGCGTATATTTTTATTACTTTTGTCGAATAAACATGGTAAAAATAAATTTTAGCTTTATCTTGATACTTTTGTATTTATTGTTGCAATGAAAACCAATATTATTTATTTTTTGTCGGCTAGTACCAAGGGTTGAAAATTCAACAAAATATGTCGGGTTTTTCTTTTATTTCTTTTTTTTTTATTCTGCCGGACACGTCTTTTACTTGAGGAATTTTCTTTCTCTTCATTTCTTTTTTTTAATTTTTATTGGTCCTTCTTAATTATCAGCTCGACCACTCATTTCTTTTTGTGTTGACCCCGGCCCCCCCCCCCCTCCACCCCACCCCGCATCTCTTTCATTTAAACTAGAGTCTACATGTACAACATGCATGCAGCCCACATGCATAATTAGATTCTGTGATGATCGAAGCCCGGTAATAGGTGGTTGACGTAACACGATATCATATAAAGCAGCATTCAAACCAAATTAGAAGGCCTGATTAGAAAACACCCCGACATCTGCTTTTACAGGCAAACTAAGCCTATGGCAACAACTGCCCTTTTTGCTAGACCACCCAGTCCCCGTCGCTTCGCGACGGCGCTGTTTGTGGTCAATCATTGGCCGCAATTATCAACATATTTGAACAACGGGAATCTGCATTTCTATACAAAGTTCTCAAATTGGCAATCGTTGGCGTAGCTAATTTGGAGAAGTTTGATTGGTTGCAAAGGCCGACCAGAATAGTTCATTTTGCTTTAGGGGTGTACCATGGCGTGTATTCAATAATACGTGAGCACGCACGCTCTCCGATGAGATTCGGAACGGATCGCCTGGCCGGAACCGATCGCCTGTGACTAGCGGAACGAATCTACGAATCCGGAACAAATCGGCGGGTACATATCCAGGCGATCGGTTCCGGAGGAACCGATCGCCTGCACGGAACAAATCGCCTATGACACCGGCCGATAATTCGCTCAGCCCCCCCCCCCCCCCCCCCCCTGGATCCACCACTGGTGTCCAACAATTTTCCACAAAATAACTAAAATTTCTATTGTGCAAAATGTATGACTCCGGAGAGTCTTTGCATTTTAGAGTACTTAGATAATATGCTTTCCATAAGACTCTCATTACCTTAGCCTGCTTATACACTCTTTCAATTCCATGGACTGGAATTTCTTCGTGCATTAACCTGTACAACTATAATTACTTTTACCTCATTTATCTTTTATCTTTTTTTTTGGAGAGCACCTAAAAAGATTGTAAAATAGGTGTTTTTAGTAATATTATAATCATGAAGTTTGTATCGTTATGCACATAATCAAGAAACTAAGGTTACCTGTTTACAATTCTATTCCATATGGTGTTTTAATTTTTATGATAATCAGAAAGATTTGATTGCCGTGCACTAATCAAGAACCTAAGGTTACCTGTTTACACATCAACTCCATATGGTGTTTTAATTATTATGATAATCAGAAAGGTTTGATTGTCATGCACAATGTTATAATCAAGAACCCAAGGTTACCTGTTTACGTTTCTATTCCATATGGTGTTTTAATTATTATGATAATCAGAAAGGTTTGATTGTCGTGCACTAATCAAGAACCTAAGGTTACCTGCTTACAATTCTACTATTCCAAACGGTGTGTTTATTGTAGCTTATTTTATATGCTAAGGAGTATAATCAATCCATCGAAGTGAAAACATGATTGGAATTAATACATACAATCCATGATTGTGCAAATCGATATCTGGGGCAGGCAACGTTCGGTTAGATTTTAGCTTTATATTCAAACAACGTTTTGCGTTACTTTTTAAAGTTTTGTTAACAAAAAAAAAAAACCTATAGACGCCCTGTATATATTTGAAATGGTTTATTTTGCTGAGAGAATATAAACAAATTGTTGCTGAGACATGTTGAAGAAAAATGGTCTAATGGAAAAAGGAATAGATTACACTTTTCTGCTCATTATTGAATACAGGGAGGGGAAGTCCACCCTGATATTAAGTTAGCTTCATTAGAAGCAGAACAATAATTTGGGTTTTCTGTTGTACGCAGAAAAATCAAATTTTGTATTCTTTCATGAATATTCGACTTTAAAAGCATTTGTTTTGAAAACCTTCACTGAAATATGTCTTAAATTAGATCCTCTTTCACATTATGATACAATTTGAGTCAAGTTTTACCATCAAACTTTTGGGGCTCCAAACGCTTGACAGGCCCTACACCAGGCGCGGATCCAGGATTTCCTAGGGGGGCCCAAATTTGAAATTATGCGACCCAAATATCGGTACGTAATGGTGACCTACATTGACGTAGTGGGGGGGGGGGGGTGCAGGGAGGGGGCGACTACCCCCTCCCTCCTCCGCCAAGCGCCAAAGCTTTGACGTTTCATTGAATTATTAGACAAAGAGGACGATTCGTTGTACCGTTCTCGAAAATAATCCTCGTCTGAATTCAGTTTACCACCAGAAATAAACCGATTTGTGGTACCGTTCTCGACTCTTAATCCTCGTTTGAATTTGGTTTCCCCCTCCCGCGCAGAGCGCGGAAGCTTTTACGTTTCATTAAATCATTAGAGAAAGAAGACGATTCGTATTACCATTCTCGACTCTTAATTCTTGTCTGAATTCGGCCCCCCTCCCTTCCTGCCCCCAGGAAGCTCAGGGGTTTTAGGCGTTTAATTACGGTCAGATGAGCATTTTTTAATACCTTATTTTGTTGTGACACTGGCAGTTAACTATTCTTTCTTCTTGCTCTTTTTCTTTGTATTTCTCTTTAATATACTTTGACAAAAAAAGTGTGTGTGTGTGTAGGGGGGGGGGGTGGGGAGTTGGAAGCTCCCGATCCCCGCATTTCCGCGGGCCCTGACATGAAGGCACCTCAAGAAGCATATTTCTTGCCTGGCTGTAAATTTAGGAATTTAGGAACAAACGCATAAAAATGTATAATTTACTAAAAAATGAGGAAAAATCTCAGAAAATTATGTCATTTCAGCATTATGCGTAAACCACCGTAACAGTTATGAAATCAGAAATAAACCCCCTCCCCGATCAAGACGCCAGTGAACCCCCCCCCCCCCCCCCCCCGGATCTACACTTTGTTGGCGGAAAAATCGCACCTGATCTCCCCTACCTTTCTTCTTTCTCTTTTTTTTCTTTCCCTACTTTCTCTCCACATTTTTTTTTTTGCACCCGGAAATTGGAAAAATTGCGTCGTCAGATATTTCATTCAGTGACTTGGGGGGGGGGGGGGGGGGAAGTAACACAATTCCCCCTTTTTTTCCTTGTTTTATTTTTCCTTCTTCCCCCCCCCCCCTTTTCCCTTTTTTTCCACAGGGGGGGGGGCGGGCCCCCCCCCCCCCTGGATCCGCCACCGAGGCATGACGAAATAGCCAGAAACGTATTGGGATTATCAAGTGCATATTATTTTTTTGATAAATGTCCTTTTTTTCTTCAATAAATATTGATATCATAGTTTGCCTTTTCAAAGACATTTTCATGCCTAAATCACCCTCCTTTTCACCAGAGAGGCGCCCGCAGTGACGTCAAATGCGTTTTGCGTCGTTATTTTTAGAGCTAGATTCCACAATTATTGATGATTTCTAAGAAAAATCATTGTCATGTTCGGAATCTCCGTCAAAAATTATTCGACACGTCCTTTTTTTCCCATTTTTTTAGCCCCTTTTGGTTAGAGTGGCCCTTTAACTCTTTCAAACAATGCATCCTTATAGCGATATGCTTTATTTCTAATGAATGACGTAAAAATGTTAATGGTGGATCCGGGCAGCGATATAACGAACATTCTCATGAATTATTCAGAAGACGAGCTGCAAGACACAAGTGCACGGATGTATTCACATAGTTCTAGCTTGGAAAATGTGTGCGAAGTTGTGTAACTATGTATAATACTTCAGCTTATTATCATTATCATTATTATCGTTCATATTATTAATATTGTTATTGTTATCATTATTATTATTATTATTATTATAATTATCGTTTTTATAATATTATCATTGTTTTCATGATTATTATTATTCAAATTGATATTAACATTAAACACTATTGTTATTATTATTATCAATATTATTCTCATCATCATTATATTACTATTATTGTTATTATCATTATTACTATTATTAATTAGGTTAATGATTTTATTTTTGTAAAATTGATGATGACGATGATTATGATAGACCAAACAAATAACTTAGAAAACAATGTTCTGTTTGCTTGTCAGATTTGTTGGTGCTTACTATAAACTTATGACGCCGGGGAAAATAAACCTTGGATCTAACTGACGAAACAACCATGATTATAGAAGGCAACGATCCTCTCAGTATGACGTCACCACACCGTGCATCAGAGGGCGATATACACAATGATGAAGGGTTTGGGGTGCAAGAGAGGAGTTCCTCATTAGAAGATCAAACTGTCATCGAAATGGATTCACAGATTGACACGTAATTAATTTCAGTGAATTGAGAAGGACAAGACATTTTGCTCCCTGCGTCATGCAATTGGGAGCACACACACACCAAAAATAAAACAAGAATGTCTACATCAGCTTTCATACATCCTGCATTATGGAATCAATAATTAGCCTTCTTTAAGTAGCTTTCGAAAATCAGAATTAAACGTTTTACCCACAGGAAAAAACTTGTTAAACTTTGGACACTCCCAATTTGTTAAAGGTTATATATCATAGCCTATATTTCAAGGTCAAATAGGCTATAACTTTTAACTTGAAATAAACCATAGTTGAGTATGCTTTTTTATACGAATGGTAGTACGGTGACATAGCTGAAATGTTGTTCACCTTTATCTAAAATCACCCACTTTGGCAAATTTGTAAATAACTTATACTGATCATTATAAGATATGGAAGCACCCGCTTTCAGTGATCATTTTCCATGACATTCTGATGCTATCCTGGTATAACTCGACAAGCAAAAAAAATATCGCCTTCGGACATTTTTCATTTTCAACCCGCTGACAAGTATTCATGTGAAACATATTCAAAGCTAACAATCTTTAATTCATTTCCCCGTTGAATTATGCAAGGGCTCTGAGCTACACCGACGGGAAGACACCCGGAGAACTGAAAGACGGGAGAATAGGAGAGCAGGAGGATGACCCAGATGAAACTGAACAACTTCTGGACAAACGGGAAGAAGGTGATACTGAAGAACAGAAGAGTAGCAACACCGGAACTAAATATTGGGCGACCGGTAACTTCATCAGCGTCGTAACGTCGCAGTGGTTAACACCGCTGTTCCGCGCCGCCAAGAAACGCGGACTAAACGACGACGACCTCTATCACATCTTGCCCGTGGACTCAGCGGAGAAAAACGCCAAGATCTTTGCTCAGTTATGGGAGGAAGAGATAAAACATCACGGTGGTAACGCGGTCAAAGCGTCACTGAGACGCGTCATTCTGCGGTTCGTATCGTGGCGTATTCTTGGCTGTATGCTCATGGTTATGTTAAGCCAGATGACCGTATTTCTTCTTTCCGTGAGTAGCTTTCTGCTATAATGTACATTGTATTTCAGTCTATTAACAATCCTTATCAAGAAATTTGTCCTCACGTACTTCAAAAGTTGGAAAGTATAAAGTACAACATTTATTTAGTGTTTGAAAAGAAGAATTTACTTTTCTTGGAGCGTGATTTTACGAACCCCCAAAATAGAAATGTGACTGCATTTTAATTGTGTGTGTGTTTTTTGTTTCAAATCATAGATTAATCAATGTAAGTAGATGGTTTCTGTTTTAAACGTATGAGCAATATGAGAATTCACCTAGTCGACGGGTTAAATAGTCGGCCAATTTGAAAGAAAAACAAATCCAACCTATATCGACATCTACACGAAAAGAAAGCAGAACAATCAGCAAAACAGTCTAGTGAAAGTTTGAACGGAATTGAACCACAAAAAAAAGAAAGTTATTAAATTTGAAAGCTGTTATCACTTTATACGTGTCACGGTATGGGCACTTTAATTCACCGAATATATAAGAACAAATAGATAAGATATAATATGATAACATGGTAAAAAATAATTTTGATAAGAAAACCCTGTTCAACTGAGAATCGCATATAGATTAAATGATCTCAGATTTCAAACATTCATAACTCCCGTATTATTGTTCCGATTTATCTCAAACTTTCGCCATTCTGTTTCTCTCATTTTTTGCTTTGATTCCTGCAAATGAACTTTTTATTACCCTTAAATGATTTTCTAATTTTCACTTTTGAACAAACACATTTTCAGTCCGTTTCTATCCGTGGCCTTCTCCAATATTCCGCGGATGCGACTGCGCCCGTTTACCGCGGTATTCTGTACGCGGTCAGCGCCATGCTCTTCACGATTCTCTACAACATTACCCTCGGTGCAAACTACTTCATCGCGGCTAGCACCGGGGTGCGGCTGCGAGGCGGTGTGGTGGCGCTTTTACTGCAGAAGGTTCTGCGGCTGCGTGGTCTTCACAAGACATCGATGGGTGAGATTGTGAATCTATGTGTTAACGACGGGAACAGACTCCATGATGTAAGTCACAACAAAACAAAAATGTTCATAATTTTATATGCATTCCATATATGGATTTATATATTTTTTTAAGACATTCACAATCACAAAGATATTTGAGAAATTGACTGTGTGTCCTATTTAAAAAAAAAAACATCATGATTGGATTAAGCAATACATCAATGAATTGAAATTGTCTTAGGAAGTTAGGATGATATTTTACAAATGACTGTGTGACCCCGCTAATATACGAAATACCTTTATTTGAATAAACATTATAATGTGAATTCCAAAATTTTGTCTGGCATTGCAGACTGAATTATCAAAACAAACGCAATATTTTTACTGAGTTCTGAACAATGAAAGCCTATTCGGTTCAACAGCAAATAAATCTCGTGAAATTGTTCAATGTGACTATTATATACCCATCAAATCAATTCCAAGATTTCCAATGTTTCATGAAGAAGAATCTAATTCATTGAATTAATTTATATACCAAAATACCTCGTTATATTGCTTTCGATGGCTTGCTCTAATCCTATTTTCCTCTGTCTCTCATACTCTAATTGCTATCAAGGGAATGGTGTTTACACCTTTGGTCGTTGGGGCGCCCGTGATATTCATTTGCGCATGCGTATTCACGACTTACATCTTGGGCAAATCAGCTTTGATTGGGATGTTGGTCTACGCGCTAACATATATTGCACAGGTAAGTACAAGTTATATTGATAATTATCATAGTTGCCATTTATAGCGCCTTTTCCACTCGATACAAATTACAGCTTTAATATGCTATCAATAGTCGGTGTTAGAGTTAAATATATACAAGTTACCAAGCAGTGACATGTAATGTAAATATATCGTGATTAATGCAATGGATTTAATTGACTCTTATTCTGCCTCCGAAAAAAGTTTGCAACGTTGGCGATAAAACCATGTAAAGTTTTTTTAATTTTATATATTCCCCCCAAAATGTTAGGTTTTGATAGTTCAGTTAATACACATAGTCTATATGCCCAATATAAAACATTGACGGTAGATATTATTTTGTCATAATTATATATCACGAATTAGCGGTTGTTTATTGTCTACTAAGTCAATAACGTCGCCGGTTTGATATCTGCAGTTTGCGAGCTGTGTGATGATGATGATAGTGATGATGAAGGTGGTGGCCGTGGCCATGTTAATGGACCCATATAGGAACCCACAGACAATGTCCATATATTTTGCCCACATAATGCCCACAAGGTTTACCCGGATTGGGCCCAGGTTTAACATACCAATCTTATAATTTTTGCAAAATATTATGGGAACCGAATCTTACTGAACGAATATGTAGTTTTACATTTTATCTAGTGTATATAGACGACTGAATAACATATTTGCCATAATAAAAGTGCTTGCTTGCTCGCTCGCAATATTTCAGGTCAGGATAGTATATTTTCGGACAAGAGGCCCGAACAGCCCTCACTCAAAAAGTGCCCTTACGTCTATGTGTACGAGGGATGGAAAACAATTTTTGGGGCAACGGGAACTCCAAAAAGGGTGCCATGACCCCCCCCCCCCCCTATTTTTTTTTTAAAAACGCTGATCTAGTAGACTAAAGACTGGTTCACCGCCCCTCCCCCTGTGACTGAGCCCACGCTGCTCCTCTTTGGTGATGGTGGTGGTGGTGATGATGATGGTGATGGGGGTATATATATGGTGATGGTGGTGGAGGTGGTGCTGCTGAAGGTGGTGGTGGTAGTGGTAGTGTCCTCTTAAAGGTTGAAGGATTAGGATTAAACACAACTTTTTCTTTGGGTCGGTACGGCATAGACTCATGCCCTTGTCGGCGACAATCTAAATGACGACAATTTATTTTGCCTATTGTATTTACAGGTGGCATAATTTTCGTACAGAAAGAAAAAGCAGTAATGGTATGCAGTACAAAATACAGTATTGTTTTTAATATATGCAGTTTGGGCTCATTCCCTATCCAGGTTTGATTAGTGCAGGTGATGACGTCATGAAAATACAGCTTCCTGTGCAACAGACCTATCAGGTTCATCACCCTGTCTAATAGCTAAGCAGCATTTTTGTGTTGTTCTTTGTAGTTCGCTCTAACAGGAGGTAAGGTGATCTACCGTGCACGCATGATGAAAGAGACAGATCAACGAGTTCACACCATCAGTGAGATGCTGACTAACATCAAGTTCATCAAGATGTATGCATGGGAAGATTGCTTCGAGAGGAAGGTCAATGGTAGGTCAAACATGGACCAGGACTATTCTAGATTGTGTGTCGTAGCATGGCTCTTACGATCGGTCTAAACATGGACACTATAAGAGGGAGTGTCTGTGGTCTAAGAATCGATCTCAATTTCAAGAACTCCGCATATGGTCGGGGCATGGCGGAGGAGGACTAGACAATATCGATTGAAAAAGGAAATGCCATACGTTACAATGAAATGATGATAACCTGATATGCAAAGATATTCTTTTAGTTTGTCTGTTTGATAAGTTTCTTTTTTTAAGGGATGGAATTTTCTCCCTTTCCTTGACCCTTCTCGAGGTATTTGAGTTGGTGGAAATGTTATTTTTGGTTTCTCCGGACAGTAATTAGATACAAAGTCAGAGGATGAGTTATAAATATCGACATTACATATCTATGTACGTCCTCAAATCCTAATCTCGTTTATTGAACTTATCAATTCACTAATCATATTCGAGGACATGTATAATGCTAGATGGTGCGCCCTGATTAGTTATTTTTTATTACCCAATCAGGATCCACAAACATGAAAAACATAATGATGACTATTATTGGAGATTAAAGAATGATAATCGTAATACTATAAGTGATTGCAATAATTAACATCATGACCTCTCAATAGATTTCCAAGGTAGAGAAGCAGTGAAATTAAGAAAATAAAGGCTCCATTTTTTGTTTAACTCTGCAGAACTCCGCCGAAGGGAACTACGACATCTAGTTGGTTTGCGCATTCTTCATGGTATCCAAAAGAGCTTCAACATTTTTGTTCCAATAGTAGCTGTTGTGGCCACAATTATGTTCAAGCTCTTTCTGAAAGAGAGTCTTTCCCCAGATCAGGTACGTTCAAATCACCCATCAGAATATCATGCGTTTTTGTTATATGCTAAATATTTTATATGAAAAAAGGGAAATTCGAAAAATATACCATGTAAAATGGTTTTGTTTTTATAGGACCAGGGCATAACAAATTTAATCCGCAGACAAGGTATCGGGAGAAAAAAACTGCACATCATTAAACCATTGATTTGGATTGTACTAAAGTGATGGAGAAGTATATGACTGACATAGTAACCGCAGATAACATTTATGGCGTGCTTTTAAAGGGAGATGCTCAAGGACACTACAAAATATAATCATCACACTCGCTTTTATAGCCAATCTGTCCCAAGGTGCTAAAAACAAGAGCAGTGAATAATTTCCTACTATACAGGTACCTATATACACCTAGGTACAGAGTAGCAATCGAATCTCGAACTATTTGTTCCACAGTCCAGTGACGTATCCACAAGACTACGGCACATAGACTTACCCCTGGATATAAACCAAAAGGTATTCGAGTTACAAACAAGAAATGCAAGATACCCAGCATCCTGTAGTCACTTTGGTTTCTTTACGCATCTACACTGTACCTTTAAAACGATATCATCCTCATCCTATGTCTTTCTAGGTGTTGACCTATTTAGCTGTCATCTACAGCATGCGTTCGATGCTCACCATGACTCAGTATGGTTTCCAATACTTGAGTGATATCCTGGTGTCCATACCACGTATCAAGAACTTGCTGATTCAAGATGAGATGCTACCCATCACGGATAGTGTCGATGACTGGTCGAATGCGATCGAGATGAACTCGGTGTCGGCTGCTTGGGATGACTGCAGTAAAGACAAGAAGACTCAATGCGATACAGCTCGGGTAAGACAAACAAAGTAAACATATACCACAAACTGAACGATGAATTCGTTTATCGATTGATGTTCATTTTCCCATAGGAATTCCTGAAATCACATTCTTTGCGAAAACGAAACTTATTTTTTTCTTTGATCAACCCTGGATAACCAAATCATAAAAGAGAAATGCTTCCATCTGTTTATTGTCTATTTGTATTACTCGTTTCAACCAATCAGATGGCTGGATTTCTTAAGTGAGGTATACAAAAACAAATCATGCCTGAATGTAACTGATTAACAATAAAATGGTTCTAAATTGTACTCTTTTTTAAAAACCTACCTGACGGTTGCTAGGATAAAGAAGATCATGACGTCATTGACAGAGAAAATGGTTCGTCGTCAGACCTCTATGGAGCATGCGCATTGAATGATGTATCGGTTGCAGTAAAAAAGGTACGATATCTTTTTCCCCTTTATCTGTATAATTATCTAGTATTAACACTTGTCGTTGCTTCTTGTTCAATCATGAGAGTTTGCAATCAAATAGACAATGAAATATCTCTGACAAAATAAATATACTTTCAGATATAAACTTTAACATAAAAAGGAGTAATCATGGGTGTCGATCTGTAACTGATACCTATTCATCAGGGGGGATGATCTATTCATTCATCCCCCCCCCTGATGAATAGGTATTACGTAAGGATCGACACCCATGGGAGTAATGGTTCGTCAATGGTATGATAGATAAAAAAACAGAAACACAATTCTTTGAAATGCATAACACATAAGCATTATTATAAGAATCCTTTCAACTATATAGTGATCACAAAGTTCGAACTTTTTGAGGGATGTCTAAATACCAGGGGAATGGGATGATTTTAATAAATCGTCATGAACAACTTCTCTCTTTTCTACAAATTTATCAGGGATCTCTTGTTGGTGTATGCGGTAGCATAGGGAGTGGTAAAACCAGCTTACTACACACCATACTACAACAGACACACATCCTAGAAGGGTCTATAGCCGTATCAGGGTCTTTGGCATACACCTCCCAACAACCTGATATCTTCAACGCAACATTACGTGAGAACATCACCATGTTCGGCGACCATTGTGAAGATGAAGTCGAGAATGAGAACCAAGCTGAGAGAGTTCACAGTGAAGAGAGATACTGGGAAGCGGTCAGGGTTTGTTGTCTGAGTGACGACATCGCGGCGCTTCCATGCGGTGGTCGTACGGAGATCGGCGAGCGTGGTATCAACCTGAGTGGAGGACAGAAGCATCGTGTGAGTCTGGCTCGAGCTGTGTACGCTGATCGAGACATCTACTTACTGGATGATCCGTTGAGTGCAGTGGATACAAGGGTAGCAGAACACATCTACACAGAGTGCATCGCAGGTATCCTCAAGGAGAAGACCGTACTCTTAGTCACAACCAACCTACAGGTAAGTCTACTTGCTTTTCTATTACAGTTTGAACCAGTCTATAATGTTTTCAACTCGGTATTTTCCAAAACTCGTTGGAAGCATAATTTATATAGAAGAAGAACAAATTGTTATTAGTTTACCAGTTAAAACAATTTAGTACAATGAACTATCCATACTATCATATACGTTGTAGAATATTTATAATCAAATCATCGGCATATGGTTTCTGTTCATTTTCCATAGGGTTCTATATTTTCCATTTGCGCATTTGAGGAGTTGGGGAGACAGAGCTTTTACAGCTGCTGCACCCCGGTTATGGAACTCCCTACCCCATTCAATCAAAATGTCAGCGAATCAAAATGTGTTCCAAAAACAATTGAAAATCTATCTAATGTCTGAATTCCTTATTTAAGACGTAGTGTATTTCACAATCTGATGTAATTAACGTTGTTGAATTATATTTAATTATGTCATATTATTTTCGTTCAATGTACTTACCTTGTTAGGCGCCTTGAGCATCTCTTGGGGTGGATATGTGCGCATTATAAATGTTGTTATTATTTTTTTTTTTTACAGTAATAGTGAGAATTCAATCGTTTCGAAAATAAAGAGGCAACAAAAAAAGTTAAACACATTACACAATGTCTTCCCACTCCCACAGTTCTTCCTTACGTTTTACGATCAGGAAGCTCTAGGCTATGGAGACATTTGAATTAATTATATTTAATTATCTGTCATGACTACAAAAATAGTTCGTTGAAACCTATGTCTTTATTTTTTCTGTTATCTCAGTACCTTAGCAAATGTGATGAGGTGATTGTTATCAGCAATGGACGGGTGATCGAACAGGGTACACACACGCAGCTTATGACAGATGAAGCCGAGTATGCTCGCCTTCTACGAACATTTGGCTCTGACCACGACAAAACAGCAGACGACTACATCAGCAAGCAGAACGAAGACGAAAGCACCGATAACGATGACCTCTTGGCAAATTGCTCGACGAGAACTCTGAATGAAGAGGACTGTCTAGATGAAAACATTGAGGGTCAGTTGGTGGACGCAGAGACCCAAAAGCAGGGTGCAGTCAGCACAGGGACCTACCTGGCCTATTTCAAATACGCAGGAGGCATACTTTCATGTTTCCTTTCTTTACTCTTGTATATTCTATCACCAGCAAGTGCTGCATTCAACAACGTCTGGCTTAGTCATTGGCTCAGCGCGGGCAGTGGCATTCCTCAAAATGGCACCCAGCTACAGTCAGAAGATGAACAAGATATTCTGAAGAATCCTGAATTCCACTTTTTCAGGGATGTCTATCTTTATAGCTTTCTGAGTGTGTTTGTAATATGTAGTCTTCGTATAGTTTATTATGTAATGATTACGCAGAGGGCGTCGTTCAACCTTCATCGATCCCTCTACAAGCAGGTCTTCAGTTGCCCGATGGAATTCTTTGATACCACTCCATCGGGAAGGGTCCTGAATCGATTCTCTCGTGACATTGATGAAGCAGATAATGAAGTCCCGAACGCTCTCGAGACGGCCCTCTGGACATTTCTCAGTGTGTTTGCAGGTATTGTAATTGTCATCATGGTCTTTCCCTGGTTTATCGTCTTTGTTGCCATCATTGCTATTGTCCTTGTGTATTTGTCTCGAATGTTTCTACCAGCTATTCGTGATATCAAACGTATTGAAAACATCAAACGATCACCACTCATCGGACACGTTAAAGCTACAGTCGAGGCTCAGACCACCATCCGGGCATTTGGCATGGGAGAACTCTTCATTAAACGCTGTAACAAGCTCTTAGACACCAGCGCTGTTCCAAAGATGCTATTTTTAATGGGACAACGATGGTTGGCATTCAGACTGGACCTATGCGTAGCAGTAGCCCAACTGCTACTTGGTCTATCTGTCGTTTTTACACACAACACTACTGCTGCCGCTTTTGCCGGACTGGCTCTTGCTTACTCCGTACAGTTCCTAGGGACACTTCAATTTTCTGTTCGACTTATCACGATCACACAGGCCCGTTTCACATCCATTGAACGCATTACCGATTATATCAAAAGATTGATACCAGAGGGGGGCACCGGGAAAAAGCATATATTAAAAAGTGATGTGGAGAGTTGGCCCAAACATGGAAATATCACAGTTGATTCACTTCAACTCAAATATCGAGACAACCTTCCGACTGTGTTGAAAGGTATTTCTTTCCATGTCAATTCTAAAGAGAAAATTGGAATCGTTGGAAGAACTGGATCAGGCAAATCGTCCATTGCAGTAGCCCTATTTCGTCTCGTCGAAGCAACCTCTGGCAGAATCCATATCGATGACCTCGACATTGGGAGCATCCGTATCAGGGAGCTTCGTTCACGTATCTCCGTGATTCCTCAGGATCCCGTTCTCTTTACAGGAACTCTTCGTTTCAACCTAGATCCATACGAACAGTACTCCGGCGCTCAGATTTGGGATGCTTTAGATAAAACATACATGAAAAAAAGCATTGCTGGTATCCAGCAGCAACTTGAAGTCCGGGTGAGGGAAAATGGCTCTAACTTTTCCACTGGAGAAAGACAACTGCTCTGTCTAGCAAGAGCTCTCCTGCGCAACTCTACGATACTGTTCCTTGACGAAGCGACTGCGACTGTTGATGCTGAAACAGACAGTCTGGTCCAAAGTACAATCAGAACAGCTTTTTCAAACTGCACAGTTCTGACCATAGCCCATCGTCTTCACACAGTCCTAGACTCTGACCGTATTCTTGTCTTAGATGATGGTACCGTCCTGGAGATGGATACTCCAGCAGCACTTCTTGCCAACCCAGACTCCAGACTAAACGCTCTCTTGAGCTCAGGACATGACGTTTCAGTCAATCAAACCAACCATTGTGGACACAATTAGAACGTTTCCTATGAGCAGGATTAGAGTGAAGGATGTGGGACTAGGCCATGATTTGTAGATTTCAGCTTTGACACTTCTGTTTAGGTTGGAAGACAGGAGAAAGTCCATCGGTAATAATATAACCGGCTTATTGATCCTAGACCCCATGTGGTAATACAGCTCATATTGCTTGCATACTTTTCCTTTGTTGGGGGTATCCCATTGATATATTATGTAATGTGTGTCTCATTTCAAGATTTGGTAAGGGGTAGCTAGGTGTCGAGTTAGATGTAAGTAAAGGTTGTTTGTTTGTATTATTTCCTTCATATAAAAAGAAAATACAATGAAGGAAAAAATACGAATAATAATAAAATTCATAAACATATACAAAATTATACGGATAACACAAGTAAGAAAATTAATATGGCATTAAAATGGGGAACAAATTAAGAACGGAAGAATGTACCACGAAGTAAACAAAAACAGAGAAACAGGCGGCTGGATCGATAGCCTATTTTTCAGCTGCAACTTGCATAGTTATTTCAAAAGTGTACAAGGCAAAAAACAAGAAGAACAATTTTTTTTTTTAAGAATACAAAAGGGCTGTAGAGGCTCCAAATTCATTCCCCACATTTTGGTGCGTAACAGGGATATCAAAGTTTAAAATCACCCAATACAGGTGTAAACAGTTCCAGCAGTAACGATTTTAAATTCTAGTACAACTATTTATTTATATCTTATCACAA